GAGAATAATAGTTCTTGTGCAGCCAAGTCACCGAGGCGATTTCAGAGGGTTTGATTCGTTTTTATTTTTTTTTGAAAAGTTCCCCCCTGGCCTGCTGTCACACCACAGCGCGATCATCTCGCACCGCACGGGTGTGTTGACACGTTACCCCACGGGTGTGCTTGCACGTTACCCCACGGGTGTGCTGACACGTTACCCCACGGGTGTGCTTGCACGTTACCCCACGGGTGTGCTGACACGTTACCCCACGGGTGTGCTTGCACGTTACCCCACGGGCGTGCTTGCACGTTACCCCACGGGTGTGCTTGCACGTTACCCCACGGGCGTGCTTGCACGTTACCCCACGGGTGTGCTGACACGTTACCCCACGGGCGTGCTGACACGTTACCCAACGGGTGTGCTGACACGTTACCCCACGGGTGTGCTGACACGTTACCCCACGGGTGTGCTGACACGTTACCCCACGGGTGTGCTGACACGTTACCCAACGGGTGTGCTGACACGTTACCCAACGGGTGTGCTGACACGTTACCCCACGGGTCTGTTTACACGTTACCCCACGGGTCTGCTTACACGTTACCCCACGGGTGTGCTGACACGTTACCCCACGGGCGTGCTGACACGTTACCCCACGGGCGTGCTTACACGTTACCCCACGGGTGTGCTGACACGTTACCCCACGGGTGTGCCGACACGTTACCCCACGGGTGTGCTGACACGTTACCCCACGGGTGTGCCGACACGTTACCCCACGGGTGTGCTGACACGTTACCCCACGGGTGTGCTGACACGTTACCCCACGGGTGTGCTTACACGTTACCCCACGGGTGTGCTGACACGTTACCCCACGGGCGTGCTTACACGTTACCCCCAAGACGACCTCTTTGACCCCACACTCACACCCGAGAGGCTACGCGTTCCCGCACACGTGCCCCCCTAAGGCACGCTTAGCATTAGCAGGCGTCCACGACCCACTTTTGGGCGACATTGATCACAAAGCAAATTTAAGAGGCGGCTACGTTCGCCGCGTGCCCATCGCCGGCCCTGCCACGAGGAGGGAGAGAGCCGGGCGGATTGCTGGCCCCTCTCCACAACAGGGGCAGCCTCAGGGGCAGCCTCAGGGGCAGCCTCAGGGGCAGCCTCAGGGGCAGCCTCAGGGGCAGCCTCAGGGGCAGCCTCAGGGGCAGCCCTTTCCATGCGCTCCTTTGCTTTGCTTATTGTAGTACAGAGTTAGACTGATGGCCTTAATCTAAGTTGTCTTGTGGTTGTTGTTGTTGTTGTTTGACTTGCATCCCACTGGGATTTTTGCACACAGCGTTGGTGTACGGTGTTTTTTTTTTCTGAAATATTTTGCTGTCTTTTCTTGGATTATCTGTTTGCACTTAGTCACATATTCACTTTAAGATGTTTTTTGTTCATGTTTTTGTTTTTTGTTTGTTGCGGTTGCACCCCATTCAAGAGCCGAATGGCTCACAGGGCTATACCTAATACATGAACTTGATTCGGTGGCGCGATGTTCACCCGGACAGCCCGTGCCACGGGGGTGTGGGCGGGGTTGGTGAGCCAGGCAATGATGGGCCCCTGTGTGTGTGTGGGGGGGGGGGGGGTGGAGCTGGATGGGGCTGCGTGCAGTGCTGTGCCCGACCCGCAAGGGGTCCCACTTGCACCGTGCTTCGGGAGCTCATCTCAGTTGTGTTTGTAAGAGGATTTGAGAGAGGAACGGTTAAGGAGGGGGACTGCTTCATGTTACATGGGGCAGTGTTGAGTCTATGGGCAGTGTTGAGTCTATGGGCAGTGTTGAGTCTATGGGCAGTGTTGAGTCTATGGGCAGTGTTGAGTCTATGGGCAGTGTTGAGTCTACGGGTAGTGTTGAGTCTATGGGTAGTGTTGAGTCTATGGTGCAGTGTTGGGTCTATGGGCAGTGTTGAGTCTATGGGCAGTGTTGAGTCTATGGGCAGTGTTGAGTCTATGGGCAGTGTTGAGTCTATGGGCAGTGTTGAGTCTATGGTGCAGTGTTGAGTCTATGGGCAGTGTTGAGTCTATGGGCAGTGTTGAGTCTATGGGTAGTGTTGAGTCTATGGGGCAGTGTTGAGTCTATGGGTAGTGTTGAGTCTATGGGCAGTGTTGAGTCTATGGGCAGTGTTGAGTCTATGGTGCAGTGTTGAGTCTATGGGTAGTGTTGAGTCTCTGGGTAGTGTTGAGTCTATGGTGCAGTGTTGAGTCTATGGGTAGTGTTGAGTCTATGGGGCAGTGTTGAGTCTATGGGGCAGTGTTGAGTCTATGGTGCAGTGTTGAGTCTATGGGTAGTGTTGAGTCTATAGGCAGTGTTGAGTCTATGGGTAGTGTTGAGTCTATGGGGCAGTGTTGAGTCTATGGGCAGTGTTGAGTCTGTGGGCAGTGTTGAGTCTATGGGCAGTGTTGAGTATATGGGCAGTGTTGAGTCTACGTTGAGTCTATGGGTAGTGTTGAGTCTATGGGTAGTGTTGAGTTTATGGTGCAGTGTTGAGTCTATGGGTAGTGTTGAGTCTATGGGTAGTGTTGAGTCTATGGGGTAGTGTTGAGTCTATGGGGAGTGTTGAGTCTATGGGCAGTGTTGAGTTTATGGTGCAGTGTTGAGTCTATGGGTAGTGTTGAGTCTATGGGTAGTGTTGAGTCTATGGGTAGTGTTGAGTCTATGGTGAGTGTTGAGTCTATGGTGCAGTGTTGAGTCTATGGTGCAGTGTTGAGTCTATGTGCAGTGTTGAGTCTATGGGCAGTGTTGAGTCAATTGGCAGCTGGTACAATCTAATGTCTACGTACAGCAAAGGTGTAAAGAATTAGAAAACAGTAAATTTGGCTGTGACGGTCCCACCTGAAGACGGAGACTTGTGTTGCCTCCGAAACGTCGTGATTTAATTCAGTTATTTTCATTTATTAGTATTTTATTTCATTATTTTTAACCTACGTGACTTTCCCGAAAAAAACCTAAGAGTATAAACAAACAGTTGTTGTGGGCGTTGACTTTTACAATAATAAAGTGATTGCCCATTCAGTGTTCCAGAGAACTAATCGGATTTGGATTGGTTCTGCATGCAGCGAAGTGCTACTCATCGTCTCCACGTGTGAGCGATTCTAACGAGTGGTGGTGGGGCTAATCCACCCATGGGTTGGGAGCAGTGACGAGCATCGGAGAGCGCATTGTTTGTACGTTCAGCTTGAAATCGCAGAGCCCACGTAAAACGACGTAAACCTGTCTTTTCTCGTTATTTCGTACGGATTAATATCGGCAGATTAAAGGTGCCATTTTAGATGTTGTTCATCCACTCAATTGTCTGTTCAACCGCAGAGCAGATCGGCGTCCGCTCCCTCTTGAAAAGAGTGAAGACGGCGGAGGAGTGTTCACGATGCCGCCCGACGGTTTGGGATGTTGCGGCCCCGTCACACGCAGCCCGCCGAATTTTGGATGGCGCCAGTCGTGGCATCGGGTGTCCTGTCACATCGAGGTGGTGACTGGCGAGCCAGATGGTTGCGTCAGGAGGAACGGATTGGCGAATCATCGCTGCTTTGATGATGCCTCTGTACAGATATCTCTTTATTCTTAGGTTTTTTCGGTAAAGTCACGTAGGTAAAACATTAAAAAAGTCAAATAAAAAATAAAAATCACGACGTTTCCGAGGCAACACAAGCTTCCGTCTTCTGGTGGTACCGTCACAGCCACGACAGACTGTATCAAGTAACCTCCGAAACGTCGTGATTTTTATTTTATTTTACTTTTTTATGTTTTACCTACGTGACTTTACCGAAAGCTTCAAATCTAGATATCTCTGTGTGCCTATGTTTGTTCTCTCTCTATGTATCTCTGTGATATCTGTCTGCTTATATGTCTGTCTATATGTCTCTGGTTCTGTGTTTGATCTCTCTCTCAAATTTAGCATTCTCAGGAAGAACGTAATCAACCAGGTAGGGTGTTGACTGTTATGTTATCCGACTCTCTGTTGTATTACATTACATTTCTAAGTATACTAGATTTGTGTTTCTATTTCATTTATACCTGATGACGATTGCTTGTGTTGCAATCGAAACGTCGTATGCTAGTATTTAATTTATTATTTTATCTTTATACGTGACTTTACCGAAAGAACCAAAGAGTAATTCCTGCACTCACGAAAGCTCCAAATTAAGTTAGATATCTGTGAGTCTACGGGTCTCTGTACGAGTCTATCCGTTCTCGGTGTGAATCTGTAGATCTCCATGCATCTATCGGTCTGCGAGTCTGGGTCTGTACGCGAGTCTCTGTACAGATCTCGCTCTGTCAGTCTACGGGTCTCAGTACGAGTCTATCCGTTCTCAGGTGTGAATCTGACGATTTCGATGCATCTATCGGTCTGCGAGTCTGGGTCTGTGCGCGAGTCTCTGTACAGATCTCGCTCTGCGAGTCTACGGGTCTCAGTACGAGTCTACCCGTTCTCGGTGTGAATCTCTAGATCTCCATGCATCTATCGGTCTGCGAGTCTGGGTCTGTGCGCGAGTCTGTACAGATCTCGCTGTGTGAGTCTACGGGTCTCAGTACGAGTCTACCCGTTCTCGGTGTGAATCTGACGATTTCGATGCATCTATCGGTCTGCGAGTCTGGGTCTGTGCGCGAGTCTCTGTACAGATCTAGCTCTGTGAGTCTACGGGTCTCAGCACGAGTCTACCCGTTCTCGGTGTGAATCTGTAGATCTCCATGCATCTATCGGTCTGCGAGTCTGGGTCTGTACGCGAGTCTATGGGTCTCCGTGTCAGTCTACAGCTGTGATCTCACATCGAGGTGGTGGTTGATGAGCCAGACGATTGTTCCAGGAGCAGCCGAGTGGTGAATCATCACCACTGTGACGATGCCCCTGGAGTGATGACCTCAGTCTCCGCACACTCGCTAGAGCGTTTGTAATCTCCCATTGGTGAGCGTCATCATCGTCGTCGTCACCACTATCGAGTATCCACATCTGCCTTCTCACGACGAGCGAGCGGACGAGCGCGAATACACAGAGCGAACCTTTACTTCCAAAATGAACAAATAAGCGCGAAGCACAGAACGGCATGTGACGAGGTTACCCGATGAGGTTACCCGACGAGGTTATCCGACGAGGTGCGTCGTACACGGTGCGGGACGTGGAACCACATGGGCTACCGGGGACGTGCGCCGTCTTTTTTAGACGGCGACAACACTATCTGTGTGTGTGTGACACTGGGGCGTGGTGGTGCTGCGGTTAGCACGCTGTGCTACGAACCCAGCAACTCGTAATGGATTCTCACTCGGCCAGCGCCAATTTAGCTGGTAAAATATAAAATAGTAAACATTTTTTTTATTTTACCAGGTGAGGCCCACTCAGCTATGTAGCCCTATTTCAGAAGCGGCCTGGCTATCACAAATGATAGCTCAACGAAGTGGCTTATCGCGTGGAAATTTATAGCAGCCATATGCTCTAAACGCGCGATGCCGATTCTAAATGTGGAGGGAAAAACCGGAGGACCCGGAGAAAAATCCACGCGGTCACGGGGAGAGAGAGACACGCAAACTCCAAATATACAGCAGGCGTCAAGGGTCAATCGAACCCACGACCTCCTGCATACCAGGCAAGGTAGTTAACATCTCGCCACCGTGGTCCCCTCTTCCTGGGGATCCCCTAGGTCAGTCCAACCTTCAATGGAGTACCTGGTGTGATGCGTAAACATCGACACTCGGGGAGACAAAGGCGGCTGGGACGTGTTGCTGTTCATATCACCCACGTGTCATACTGGCCTTCCAGAGGTGCTACTCGCTAACAGCACTGCCCAGCAACCTTGAGGGCTATACAGGGGATCAATTGACTAATGCGACTGTGCCTGCCTGTACGTGGGTGTGAACATGACTGAGCATCTTCTTGGTTCTTTCGGTAAAGTCACGTAGAAGGGAAGTAATACAATAATAAAAATAAAACATAATAAAATAAAATAATAATATAATAATTTTTATGTTTTATTTTTATTCTTTTATTACTTCCCTTCTACGTGACTTTACCGAAAGAACCAAGAAGATGAATCCCTGCAGTCACGAAAGCTTTAAATCGAAATGACTGAGCATGTAGTGCTAAGTATGGGTGTGCGTGAGTACTCGTGTGTGTGTGTGTGCTACAGGAAGGTGCTGATTCTTTCGAAGAGGCTCGGGTTTCTGTTGCTGAGGAAGATGAGCTCCTGTCTGCCTTCTTCTGTCCGACCTGGGCGCAAAAGATAAACGCATCATCTTTACCGAAACCGTCGTCAAAACCATCGATGCCCATCGCCATACGCTGCCGTGTCTTCCCCGCGTGTCGGTTTGTGTCACCGTGCGTGTAACGGTGGGTCCCATGTGTAGCTGTGTCTCCGCGCGCCGCCCGCCCGCCAGAGGTCGCAAACGGGTTTTGATTCCTTACCCGTACCCGGCCGCACCAGGGTCGCAAACGGGTACCCGTACGCGGCCGGGTACCCGTTCCCTACACGTACCCTACCCGAAATGAGTGACAAACGGTTGCTCACCAGTGACTCACGGACTACCCGTACCCGGCCGCACCAGGGTCGCAAACGGCTACCCGTACCCGGCCGGGTACCCGTTCCCTACCCGTACCCTACCCGAAATGAGTGACAAACGGTTATTCACCAGTGACTCACGGCCTACCCATACCCAGCCGCACTAGGGTCGCAAACGGGTACCCAGCCGGGTACGGGTAGCCGGGTATCGGGTAGGGTACGGATATCGGGTACCCGGTTGCGACCTCTGCCGCCCGCCCGCCCGCACTCACTCTTCTCGTGCTGCAGCCACTTCCTCTCCAGGTAGTACTGGTAGCAGCTCTCGAACTCCAGCTCGCTGTAGTCGTTCACCTGCACCGGCACGAAGGGGTCCAGGAGGTCGAAGCCGTCCTGGTGGGATGAGACCGTGACGTACGCAGTGACGCGCAGCTCCGACGTCGACCGTAGCACCGAGGGACCACTTGGTCCTATATGGCCGCGCTATGTTTTCTCCGAAGGACCTTTAGCCTAAAAGTCGCTTATTGTTATTATGATGTACCGGTTATTCTCAGGGGCACAGCGTTATTGAGACTTTATTTTTACCCCCATATCTGTACCAGAGAGCTGCACTTACCCTTGCGCCCTGCTGTAGCAACGATGATGAGTGGGGGCATTGCCAGACAAACCGAAAGACTGTTTTGGAATTTTTGGAATTTTTTCTTAAATCGCAATTTTTGCCTATGACATGTGACAACCCGGTTTTAAACAATGAACCCCCTGAAACCGTCGCCTCAAGTCATCACAATTTGTTGACGGCGAGGTCAGGGGTCGGGGGTCGTGGCCCGTACCTTGCCGAGCAGCTCCTGCGGGAAGTACGAGAGACGGTTGGTGTAGAGGGAGCCGGTCTGCGTCACGGTGGACACCATCGCGCCGTTGCTCTGCACGCAGGCGCCACATGCGGTCACCGCACCGCCCCCGTTACACAACAACCACAACGACACGGCCGCCGTGACGGCGCGTTTGGATTTACGGACAGCGCCGTCGTTCTCGCAATCGTTGGGAAGGAACCACCCCCACAAGATGGACGGCAGTGGCAGACAGGCGGTGAGCGGGCGCCTACTCACAACCGTCCAAGCTCAGTTTAACACGTCGGCTTTTCGCGACCAATATTATTCATAATAAACGTTTTTGGGTTTAGATCGCGTTATTTATAAATGTGTCGTAACCCTCCACCACCCAACATGGCCAATCAGTAAAAAAATGTCACGTTGACAAAAGACAAATAGTTCACTGCTTTAGCCCACCGGTGTGTTGAAGCGTGAAACCACAACATTTACAATTTGAGTACGACGTTTCGCTGGTAATTGCATCCAGCATCATCGGGCAATTCGCCAGAATGGTGAGGCTCTCCTCTGTCTCCCGTTCTTATATAGAGCAGCAGCAGGGTGACGTCATCCAAGCTCTGCAGTCCTCTATACATCACGATGCTTTCAGCCAATTAATCGGCGTTTGTAAGTTTTGGGAGAAAACGCACGCGAGCGAGCGGGCGGGCGATGCTCTATCCCCCGTACAGAAGGAACAGATGGAGATTAGTCCGCACTGTGCTGCACCGCCATCTCTGGCAGGGCGTGGGCACTTCCTGAACGTCCACAGGAAGGGAGGTTGCACAACATCCGAGCGGTGATCCACCAACCGTCGCCATCTCCACGGCGCTGGACCAGAGGCTACGCGCGTAGCCGCCGCCACCGCCGCCTGGCTAACTCCGGTGGAGCATGCTTGGCTACGGTCGCGAAAGAAGTTCAACCTACGCATAACAGTACCACCCACGTATGCTGCACTTCATGTGCACGGTACGTAGCCAACCGCACTGATCGGGAGGTCTCGTCGCACGGTAAGATTGATTGCAACGGCGCACCTCGCCAAGACGTTCTTACAAAAAAAATGAGGCCACACCGAAAACGTGTGAAGAGTTCATACTCTTAGGTTTTTTCGGTAAAGTCACGTAGGTAAAAAATTTAAATTAAAAATTCACGACGTTTCGGAAGCAACACAAGCCTCCGTCTTCCGAAACGTCGTGAATTTTTAATTAAATTTTTTAGCTACGTGACCTTACCGAAAAAACCTAAGAGTATGAATCCTTGCAGTCACGAAAGCTTCAAATCTAGTGTGAAGAGTTACCCGCAAATTACTCGAGCAGGGATTACGTGGAGGGACACTGCGGGGGCCCCCCCCCGCCCCCCTTAAAACGAGTCTTGCGGCTCTGCGAGGCTGTCCTGGGGTAAACAAATGCAGCAACAGTAGTAAGAGCAGAAGACGTTGCCACATTCGGTGTCGTGGTCCGCAGTGGACTGGACTTGTAATCGAGAGCTCAAGGGTTCCATTCCATCTCCCTGAGTGGCGGCTCAAACAATGGGGGGTGATATTCTTGGTTCTTTCGGTAAAGTCACGTAGAAGGGAAATAATAAAACAATATAAAGATAAAATACTAATTCTCACGACGTTTCGACTGCAACACAAGCAATCAAAAAATTAACCCGTAAAAACAAAGTTTTTCACTATAAATCCTTTATATGCGTGGCATCGGGGCGGCTAGAGTCCTCTCGTCCTCTGGCTTGAGATGGCTGCCGCCTATGGGTCAGATGATTGTCTGCCACCATTAAGCAATTGGTAATTAAATATATATAAATATTTTAAAAAAAAATTTCACGAAAATTAATTGTCACGCACAACGAGTCTGTGTGCAAAATGTCAGCTCGATTGGATCACGGGAAGTGGGTTAAAAAACGACCGAAAGATTTGCACGGTCGCAAGCGAGCAAGCAAGCACGCAAGCACGCAAGCGAACTTAATATAAAGGATTTAAAAATACATTTTTATTGATTTATATTATTTTATTATTTCCCTTATACGCGACTTTACCGAAAGAACCAAGAATATGAATCCCTGCAATCAGGAAAGCTTTAAATCTAAATTTTATGGGGGGTGAGTTTTTGTAAATCTCCCCCGCCCCCGCCGCCCCTACCACGGCCTCTGTCCACCCAGCAGTGCGATTGGGTTCACCGCAGCCGCCCCGATAGGTCCGCGTGTGGCGACGGGTAAAAAGCGTGGGTACTTCTCCCCACCTCTTGCAAGGTGTATTGGCCAGTGTGGAAGAGTAGGCCAAAATAAAACCCTTTCAGAGGGGAGCTCTAAGGGCTCCCTCTAGTGGAAGCTCCCTTCTGCCGGCAGCGACGTGAGCCCACAATTGCGGGGGCTGCGCCTTTACCGGAATCGCTGGATGATCCCAGATTCCAATTTCACAGCGAGGGAGTTTCATTGCGCCGCACACACACACAGACGTCGTAACAACTGCTGCATTGTCCAGCGTTATCGATCCGCTGCTGGACGGGGGGGGCGGGGGGTGGGGGAGGAGTGGCTCACCCAGTCGTTGAGGACGAACTTCTTCAGGTTGCGCAGCAGCGTGACGTCTTCAACGTTCACCTGGTGTGGGGGGCGGGGGGGGGGAGGAGAGAATATGGTGTGGGGGGCGGGGGGGGAGACATAGGGAGGAAGAGGACCAGGAGGGAGACACGGGGGGCAGGAGGATGGGGATTGGAATGGAGAGTGTGACCACAGCAGGGACCACAACCCATGAATCTCCAGCAGCCACTGGCTCCAGCCGCGCCGCATGCCCGGAGCTCTCCTTGTTGGTGTGTTTCTGTCTGTCTGTCTACGCTACGAACCCGGCGACCCGAGTTCGATTCCCGCTCACGGCAAACACCAGCGACGATTATCTGAATCGGTCGTGGGCCTCCCCTAGGTCGGCTCAGCCTCAAATGAGTACCTGGTGCGGTGTGTAGTAAACATCGCCACTGGGGAGACAAAGGCGGCAGGGCGTAATGCTGCCCACCCACCCCCTCGTGTGCCGTGCCGGCCTTCATAGGTGCTACTCGCTAACAGCACTTGCCCCTACAGTCTGTTCAGGCTATACGGGGGAATTCTAGATTTGAAGCTTTCGTGACTGCAAGGATTCATACTCTTAGTTCTTTCGGTAACGTCACGTAGGTAAAAAATGAATTAAAAATTAATAAAAATAAAACAATAAAAATCACGACGTTTCGGAGGCAACACAGCAACATATCTGTACCTATCTAAGGTACAGATATTTTGCTGTGACGGTTTCACCTGAAGACGGAAGCTTGTGTTGCCTCCGAAACGTCGTGATTTTTATTGTTTTATTTTTATTAATTTTTATTTCATTTTTTACCTACGTGACTTTACCGAAAGAACTAAGAGTATATACGGGGGATCTTTGTCTTTGTTTGTCTGCACCAAGGTGGAGCTATTGGCGGAGCGGTTAGTCCACTGCGCTGGTGACGGGAGAACAGGCGGGAGTTGCTAAGGATGGGTTAGGGTAAGCCTTGGTCATAGCTGGGGGGGGAGGGCAGGCAGCAGCAGTAAGGGTGGTGATCGTGGTGGTGATAAAGGTAGGGGTGGTGATGGGGGCAGCGATAGGGGTAGTGATGATGGGGTGGTAGTAGTAGTGGGGTGTGGGGTAGTGGTGGGGGTGGTGGTGATAGTGTTGGGGGGTAGGCATGGTAGTAGCCGAGGAGTGGGGGCAGTGCATAGGAGCAGCAGGACGATTATGTTGGGCTCGGGGAGAGGAGATGGAGATCAATCTGGATTTGAAGCTTTCGTGACTGCAGGAATCCATACTCTATGTTTCTTTCGGTAAAGTCACGTAGGTAGAAAAATAAAACAAAAAATAACAACTTCGATTTAAAGCTTTCGTGACTGCAGGGATTCATCTTCTTGGTTCTTTCGGTAAAGTTACGTAGAATGGAAATAATAAAATAAAAAAAATAAAACATTATAAAATACAATTCTCACGACGTTTCGGCCACAACGCAAGCAGCCGTTCTCAGGTGAAGAACAGGTCTGTCGGGAAGACAGAGTCTCATTCAGACTCTGTCTTCCCGACAGACCTGTTCCTGTGGCCGAAACGTCGTGAGAATTATTTTATTGGTTAATTTTTATTATTTTATTATTTCCATTCTACGTGACTTTACCGAAAGAACCAAGAATACAAAAAATAACAAATCACGACGTTTCGATCGCAACACAAGCGGTCGTCCTCAAGCGGAAAAAATCATCCAGCACTGGAACTGCTGAACCGGTTCAGCAGTTTCACCGCCGGATTGTGTTGCGATCGAAACGTCGTGATATATTCATTTTAGTTTTATTTAATTTGTCTACCTACGTGACTTTACCGAAACAACCAAAGAGATGGCGATTGTTTCAAGGGAGGAACACAAGCGGGTTCTTAGTGAAGACGATCGCTCTGTGTGCTGTAGTCGGAGTTGGTTCGAGTGAAGGGGAGGTGAGCAGAGACTGGGTGGCAGAGGTCGCAAACGGGTTTTGATTCCTTACCCGTACTCGCCCGCACCAGGGTCGCAAATGGGTACCCGTACCCGGCCGGGTACGGGTACCCATTTGCGGCCGGGTACGGGTACCCGTTCCCTACTCATACCGGTACCCTACCCGAAATGAGTGACAAACGGTTACTCACCAGTGACTCACGGCCTATCCGTACCCGTACCCGGCCGCACCAGGGTCGCAAACGGATACCCGTACCCGGCCGGGTATGGGTAGCCGGGTATTGGGTAGGGTACGGGTATCGGGTACCCGGTTGCGACCTCTGCTGGGTGTCAGGGTGAGGTCTCTCTCTCTCTCTGTGCGTGCGTGGGGCTCACGATGCTGAAAAGGGAGAGATGCGTGACTGGGTGGCAGGGTGAGGTTTCTCTCTCTCTCTGTGCGTGCATGGGGCGTGCTATGGGGCGTGCGTGGGGCGTGCACGTGGGGCGTGCGTGGGGCGTGGGTGGGGCTCACGATGCTGAAAAGGGAGAGATGCGTGACTGGGTGGCAGGGTGAGGTCTCTCTCTGTGCGTGCGTGGGGCGTGCGTGGGGCGTGCGTGGGGCGTGCGTGGGGCGTGCGTGGGGCGTGCGTGGGGCGTGCGTGGGGCGTGCGTAGGGCGTGCGTGGGGCTCACGATGCTGCGGTCCTCATTGTGCAGCGACGGAGTTGGTTCGAGTAAAGGGGAGGTGAGCAGAGAAAAGGGAGGGATGCGTGACTGGGTGGCAGGATGAGGTCTCTCTCTCTGTGCGTGCGTGGGGCGTGCACGTGGGGCGTGCACGTGGGGCGTGCGTGGGGCGTGCGTGGGGCTCACGATGCTGCGGTCCTCGTTGCGCAGCGACGTGCGTCCCCAGAGCGCGTTGACGCTGTCCACGGCCACCAGCAGCGGCTGCGCCATGGTGGCGCTCTGCTGCTTGAGCTCCTTGAAGAGGGCGCCCACCACGTCGCTCGCCACCTTGGGCCGCAGCAGGCCCTGAGCGCACGGACCGCGATCGCGGGCGACCGTCAGTGACGTCGCCGTACAAGCCGTCGTTGTCGTCGTCATTCGATCGTCGGCATCAGCTTTGCCGTCAATGTCATCCGATCACCGCCACCGTCGCCACCAACATCCAAGCATCATCATCGTTTTTGTCAGTCTTCAAATCATTGTCATCGTCGGCAACATCAATCACCATTGTCACTGTTGTCATCCAATCACCACCAACGTACAATCAACATCGTCATCACATAATCATCATCGTCGTCGGTCGTCCAATCGGCACAATGAACATCCCATCTCGCAGTTGATTTTTCGGTCGGATCGTGGGCTGCTCTGAAACATTACCGGTGGTGCTGAAGCGGCGATGCACTGGCCACGTCTCGTCACCACGTGACAACTTTATACATTGGCTGTGTCGGACGGAGGGAGGTTTTACAACACGCATTTTTACTTGCGCAATCTGCCCCAAAATTCAACTCTGAATCATAATATCGGTCGCCAAAGCCCACGTGTTAAATCATCCACTCACTGGCAGCATCATCATCATCGCCATCGTTACCATCACCCAGTCACCATTAGCATCGTGGCTTTCTATTCACAAGCCCCTTGGCTCCTCCTGCCCCTCGCCCCCCACAACTGCCACCCCCCCACCAGCCCCCCCCGCCCTTGACGCCGGCGAGCAGAGTGTGACGGTGCCGCCGTTACCAGTTCGATCATCTCCAGCAGCGGCTTCCCCTGCTCCGTGCTCTCCCGCTTGCTCCACGAGTAGCTGTTCCGCGTCGTCATCTGCACACGCCGTTGCCCACCACCTCCTCCGTGTCAGTGTGGACGGGCTCGCTGTGAGTCTACGGGTCTCTGTGTGAGTCTATGGGTCACTGTGAGTCTATGGGTCTTTGTGTGAGTCTATGGGTCTGTGTGTGTGTCTACGTGTCTCTGTTTGAGTCTATGGGTCTGTGTGTGCGTCTATGGGTCTCTGTGTGAGTCTATGGGTCTCTGTGTGAGTCTATGGGTCACTGTGAGTCTATGGGTCTTTGTGTGAGTCTATGGGTCTCTGTGTGAATCTATGGGTCTCTGTGTGCATCTATGGGTCTCTGTGTGAGTCTATGGGTCTCTGTGTGTGTCTACGTGTCTCTGTTTGAGTCTATGGGTCTGTGTGTGCGTCTATGGGTCTCTGTGTGAGTCTATGGGTCTCTGTGTGAGTCTATGGGTCACTGTGAGTCTATGGGTCTTTGTGTGAGTCTATGGGTCTTTGTGTGAGTCTATGGGTCTGTGTGTGCATCTATGGGTCTCTGTGTGAGTCTATGGGTCTCTGTGTGTGTCTACGTGTCTCTGTTTGAGTCTATGGGTCTGTGTGTGCGTCTATGGGTCTCTGTGTGAGTCTATGGGTCTCTGTGTGAGTCTATGGGTCACTGTGAGTCTATGGGTCTTTGTGTGAGTCTATGGGTCTTTGTGTGAGTCTATGGGTCTGTGTGTGCATCTATGGGTCTCTGTGTGAGTCTATGGGTCTCTGTGTGTGTCTACGTGTCTCTGTTTGAGTCTATGGGTCTGTGTGTGCGTCTATGGGTCTCTGTGTGAGTCTATGGGTCTATGTGTGAGTCTATGGGTCTCGGTGTGCATCTATGGGTCTCTGTGTGAGTCTATGGGTCTCTGTGTGCATCTATGGGTCTCTGTGTGAGTCTATGGGTCTCTGTGTGTGTCTACGTGTCTCTGTTTGAGTCTATGGGTCTGTGTGTGCGTCTATGGGTCTCTGTGTGAGTCTATGGGTCTCTGTGTGAGTCTATGGGTCACTGTGAGTCTATGGGTCTTTGTGTGAGTCTATGGGTCTTTATGTGAGTCTATGGGTCTGTGTGTGCATCTATGGGTCTCTGTGTGAGTCTATGGGTCTCTGTGTGTGTCTACGTGTCTCTGTTTGAGTCTATGGGTCTGTGTGTGCGTCTATGGGTCTCTGTGTGAGTCTATGGGTCTATGTGTGAGTCTATGGGTCTCGGTGTGCATCTATGGGTCTCTGTATGAGTCTATGGGTCTCGGTGTGCATCTATGGGTCTCGGTGTGAGTCTATGGGTCTCGGTGTGCGTCTATGGGTCTCTGTGTGCGTCTATGGGTCACTGTAAGTCTATGGGTCTCTGTGTGAGTCTATGGGTCTCGGTGTGAATCTATGGGTCTCTGTGTGAGTCTATGGGTCTCGGTGTGCATCTATGGGTCTGTGTGTGAGTCTATGGTCTCGGTGTGAATCTATGGGTCTCTGTGTGAGTCTATGGGTCTCGGTGTGAATCTATGGGTCTCTGTGTGAGTCTATGGGTCTCGGTGTGTATCTATGGGTCTCTGTGTGCGTCTATGGGTCACTGTAAGTCTATGGGTCTCTGTGTGCATCTATATCTCAAACGATGGACCACAAAGTGGTGACACAGACAAGCCACGCACTGGGGAAGGCCTTCTGCTCGTGACTTCTCCCATGACCCCACGACCCCACGACCCCCACCTGCTTGAGGAGCCGCTCGTTGGTGGTGCGGAAGTGGCCGAGCCACGACACGGCCTGCATCGGCGTGTCCACCCGGCCCGGCCGGAACGCCGACGGCATCAGCTGCCGCACGTCCTTCAGCCACTGGTGAGCTGCAGCGAGACGGAGCGAGCAGCCCATCAAGACGGGCACGGAGCAACCAGGGCGCGCTGCGGTACGCACTCGCGTGAACACACACGAGGCTCGCGGACGCACACACGCACACACACGCACGCACACGCTCACGCACGCACACACACGCACGCACACGCGCGCACGCACACACACGCACGCACACACACGCACGCACGACAAGCCACGCGAGCCGCGAGGCGGCGTGAGCAACGCAACTTGGGGGGGGGGGGCCGTGCCTCAGACCTCGCCGCGCAGCATCGGCGGCGACCGTACCGTCGGGGACGTGCAGCACCATCCACCCCTGGGAGGCGCAGTAGTGCACGGCGTGGCACAGAGTCATCGACTTGCCCGTCCCCTTCTTCCCGTCTGAGCGGCGGCGGCGGCGACGGTCGTACGGAGCTCAGGGAAAACCGACGGAACTTCACGACTCCATTTACCGCGGCCCAGAGGACGGAGCGCAAAGTGGCCGCCGACGGAACGGCGGACGGGAACGGACCGCGGGCGCGCGCCTCGGGTGTACCGCCGAGGTTGCCCCGAGAGCGTAAAGTTGTTGACGGGAGGTGCGACGGCCGCTGCTCTGACGAGAGGCGCGAGCAACGACGACGAACGGAACGGAACTGAATTTGTAAGTTTGCACAGAGAGACGCACGGACGGAATTGCACCGAGACACGGGAGGAGGAACGCGTGGATTTTTCTCCGGGTCCTCCGGTTTTTCCCTCCACATTGAGAATCAACGTCGCGCGTTTTAGAGTATCTGGCTGCCATAAATGTCCACGCGATGATGGTAAGCCGCTTCGCTGTGAGCTATCATTTGCGATGGCCAGGTCGCTTCTGAAAACAATAGAGCTACTCAGCTCAGCGAGGCCTTACCTGCTCAAGTAAAATTGTTTTAAGTCTCAAGTTAAGATAACGACGATGCCGACGATGTCCGATTCGCGTTGTCCGCATGCAGGATACAGATGACGTAGCGCACGACCGGCAGGGAGAGGTCGCTGCCCTTGAGGAGCGCGATGAGTTCCAGCGCCGGAGGCCGCACCATCAAGGACGCCTCTTGAAACGTGCGCATCTACACGGGGACACACGCGCACGGGGGGACACGTGGTGACGCACCGCGCACCATGTGCTCGTTCGAGGCCGAGTCGACCTAAGGAAGGCCCAGGACCGGTTCGGTTAATCGTCACTGGTGTTGGCCACGAGCAGGAATCGAACCCGGGTTGCGGGGTTCGTAGGACAGCGGTCGGAGCGTTGCCGCTCCCCGCACACGGAGACACGCCTCGTTAAATGTGCGCGCCTGCACGGTGACATGGGGACACGTGGAGACACGCACGGAGGCACAGAAACACACGAGGACGCGGAGACACATGGGGTCACACAGCAGCACATGGGTACACATGGGCACACGGAGACACACAGAAACACACGGGGACACGGAGACACACAGGGGTCACGGAGACACATGGGGACGCACGGGGGACTCTGAGACACACATGTGAGGACACGGACACACGGAGACTTACGAGGACGCGGAGACACATGGGGTCACACAGCAGCACATGGGGACACACAGCAGCACATGGGGACACACAGGCACACGGAGATACACAGACACACGGGGTCACAGAGACACATGGGGACGCACGGGGACTCGGAGACACATGTGGGGACACGGACACACACGGATACAGGGAGACACACACGGAGACACGGAGACACATGGGGTCAAACAGCAGCACATGGCTACACACGGGCACACGGAGACACACAGAAACGCACGGAGACACGGAGACACACACGGAGACACACATGGAGACACACACGGAGACACACGGAGACACACAAGGACGTGGAGACACACACAGGGGTCAAGTAGCAGCACACGGGCACGCGGGACCACAGACCCAGTGCCAGGCTTGAGTGCCCTCTGGGCCCAGTTGACCCGCGACCTCTGACGCGGTGACCCCCACCTGCTGGTAGAACCTGCGGGGCAGGCCGTGCGGGAAGACGGTGGCGAGGTCGGACGGGGAGATGGTGTAGAATCGCCCCGCGTGGCTCTCCGAGTGCAGCGCCTGCAACCAAACGCAGGCCCCGTTCATTGTCAACTCTCCGTCATCATCATCATCCACCACTACCAGTAATCCTCCCAGCAGCAGCAGATTTTGGATAGCCATCGAACAAAGACGGTCACCGCATCGCACGCTTTCAGACGCGCTTCTGCAGCCGTCTGGAACGTTCTACCTTATAAATTAGGACGCCACTGGAGCTGTGAACTTTTAAATCTAGATTGAAAAGTACATTTTTTAGAACTGCTTTTTGTCTCTAGTTTGTTGTCCTTCCCCCGTATGGTGCGAAAGAAGTTCAACACACATACATCCTTCACGTGATCACCATCACCGTCGTCGCCGCAACCTTGTCGTCAACGTCGTCATCATCACTCTCACCGTCATGATTTCGTGCGTAACGTCACACGGCCATTCTCACTCGCGATCGCGTCACGCTCGGCAGAGTCGCAAACGCCGCGAGTGCAGGCCTCCCTCGCTCCACGCGGTAGTAGGAGTAGTTGTAGTAGATGCTTTCCAAAAAAAGGGGCGCACAAGGTGAAATTGTGTAGCATGGACCCACATGGTCACCCAACGCACAAAGCACCGCACGAGGAGACAGCTGCCTGCAGAGGAGCACAGAGTACACACACAGTACACCGTGTACACACACACAGTACACACAGTACACACAGTACACACACAGACAGTACACACACACACAGTACACACACAGTACACACAGTACACACACAGTACACACACACAGTACACACAGTACACACACACACAGTACACACACACAGTACACACACAGTACACACGCTGCACGCACACACACACACTACACATGCAGTACAGACACACTACACACAGTAAGCACACAACGTAGCACCACGTCCGACCGCATATCCATCCGCACGTCGAGTGAATTCCAACCGCGTGATAAAGCGAAGTTTTTGAGTAGAAACAGCTTGGCCGCACGGACAGCGCCACGCATCACCAACCCCGCGTCGAGCGAGGGGGACCCTGCGCCGGGGTTGACTCAACTGCCCCGAGCCATCGCTGTCGCGCGATCCGTGCGTCCGCGAACCGGACCCGTTGCCCGGCTCTCCCTCACGGCGGCAAGTGAAAAAGCCGCTTCCCCAATCGCGCCACGACTCACCGGATCGGCCTGCGCGGTCCGGAAGATGGCGCGCGGCTCGCTGGCGGTGATGTCACGCGGATCCTGGGGGGCGACGGCGGCGGTGAACTCGGCCTCCGGAGCGGCCGACGCACAGCACGCACGCGTTCCGGCGTGCAGCAACCGGCTCAACGGACTCTACAATGGGGGCACGGAATACGGGGGGGGAAGGGGGGGGGACTGAGCGCAGTGTGTGGTGTCTTGTGGGCAAGACGTGGTGCCCTCTGCTCACGACTGTAGATCCACGAACGTTTCCTGGAGGGGGGGGCTTTTTCGAAATAAAAGTTGTGGTCATCCCGTGACCTCTGCAAGTTGTTTCCGTCCCGTGACCTCTGCAAGTTGTTTCCGTCCCGTGACCTCTGCAAGTTGTTTCTGTCCCGTGACCACCGCTAGTTGTTTCCGTCCTGTGATCTCTGCTAGTTGTTTCTGTCCCGTGACCTCTGCCAGTTGTTTCCGTCCCGTGACCTCTGCTAGTTATTTCTGTCCCGTGACCTCTGCCAGTTGTTTCCGTCCCGTGACCTCTGCCAGTTGTTTCTGTCCCGTGACCTCTGCCAGTTGTTTCCGTCCCGTGACCTCTGCTAGTTATTTCTGTCCCGTGACCTCTGCTAGTTGTTTCTGTCCCGTGACCTCTGCTAGTTGTTTCTGTCCCGTGACCTCTGCCAGTTGTTTCTGTCCCGTGACCTCTGCTAGTTGTTTCTGTCCCGTGACCTCTGCCAGTTGTTTCCGTCCCGTGACCTCTGCCAGTTGTTTCTGTCCCGTGACCTCTGCCAGTTGTTTCCGTCCCGTGACCTCTGCTAGTTATTTCTGTCCCGTGACCTCTGCTAGTTGTTTCTGTCCCGTGACCTCTGCTAGTTGTTTCCATCTCGTGACCTCTGCTAGTTGTTTCCGTCCCGTGACCTCTGCTAGTTGTTTCCGTCCTGTGACCTCTGCAAGTTGTTTCCATCCCGTGACCTCTGCTAGTTGTTTCCGTCCCGTGACCTCTGCTAGTTGTTTCCATCTCGTGACCTCTGCTAGTTGTTTCTGTCCCGTGACCTCTGCTAGTTGTTTCCATCCCGTGACCTCCGCTAGTTGTTTCCATCCCGTGACCTCTGCTAGTTGTTTCCTTCCCGTGACCTCCTCCAGTTGTTTCCGTCCCGTGACCTCTGCTAGTTGTTTCCATCCCGTGACCTCTGCTAGTTGTTTCCGTCCTGTGACCTCTGCTAGTTGTTTCTGTCCCGTGACCTCTGCCAGTTGTTTGTCCCGTGACCTCTGCCAGTTGTTTCTGTCCCGTGACCTCTGCCAATTGTTTCTGTCCCGTAACCTCTGCTAGTTGTTTCTGTCCCGTGACCTCTGCTAGTTGTTTCTGTCCCGTGACCTCTGCTAGTTTCTGTCCCGTGACCTCTGCTAGTTGTTTCTGTCCCGTGACCTCTGCTAGTTTCTGTCCCGTAACCTCTGCTAGTTGTTTCTGTCCCGTGACCTCTGCTAGTTTCTGTCCCGTGACCACCAGAAGTTGTTTATGTCCTGTGACCTCTGCCAGTTGTTTCTGTCTCGTAACCTCTGCTAGTTGTTTCTGTCCCATGACCTCTGCTAGTTTCTGTCCCGTGACCACCAGAAGTTGTTTCTGTCCCGTGACCACTGCAAGTTATTGCCCTCCCATAACCCCCGCGAGTTGCTGCCATCCCGACCCACAGCTGTGTCGTCTGGACAGGATTGAGAACGCATCGCGGCTTCACATCACAGTCCACACCCCCCCAACCCACCAGTCGGTCAGCCCCGTTCGCTCGTTACGAGGGACAAGGGGTATTGGAAGGAGGTCGGTTTTCTGCTTTATTTTTTTGTTTGTTATTTTAATGGCGCGGGCGTTTAATACAAGAGGTCACGGTCGTCCTCTCGATCCACGTTGGAGACAGATACTCCTTGTATCGGCTGTGCAGGGATTGCTGCACGTCGTTCAGACTCATTTGGAATGCGTTTGTTAGAACATCAGCACCAGCCATAAGAAGAAGGAGGAGTGATGGAGTAAAAAACCAAAACTAATTTAATGCGATGGGTTAATTTTTAAATCCTTTATATTAAGTTCACTTGCTTGCTTGCTTGCGCGCTTACGACCGTGCAAATCTTTCGGTCGTTTTTTAACCCACTTCCCGTGATCCAATCGAGCTGACATTTTGCACACAGACTCGTTGTGCGTGACAATTTATGTTCGTGAAAATTTTTTTCCTAAATTTTCCACTTTTTAGGAATTTTTTTTTCATATTTAATTTAAAATACCAATGTGATAAAAATGAAACTCTTACTCAAGAAAAACAGAAATGAATAATAAAATAAAACCGATGCCACGCATATGAAGGATTTATAGTGAAAAACTTTGTTTTTAAATTTTTTCTGTTCTGTGCAGTCGTTGGTGACCATGGCTGAGAACATCACCGTGTGACTTGAGACCCCGATTTAAATCGCTGCGGCCGTAACCCGGATTCGAACCCAGGACCTCAGCGGCGCGTGCTCAGCATCTCTTGAGCCGAGTCAGTGGCCACCTCTGCTTGGATTGGACTTTAGTGAAGCCAACCGGATGCACCTGGCCGCGTGTTCTGCGTGTGCGGCGATGTTTCAAGGTATCCGCAAGCGTGTCAGGCGATCCTTCGTTACGTTGAGAGACACCGCGAGACTCTTAAGGAGCAAATTTCGATTGAAAAGCTTTCGTGACTGCAGGGATTCATATTCTTGGTTCTTTCGGTAAAGTCACGTAGAAGGGAAATAATAAAATAAAAATAAAAAATTCTCCCTTCTACGTGACTTTACCGAAAGAACCAAGACTATCTTAAGGAGCATTCAACATCTTTAACGATCGCGATCTCCCCGTGTGCATCCCAGAGGTCGCAACCGGGTACCCGATACCCGTACCCTACCCGATACCCGGCTACCCGTTTGCGACCCTGGTGCGGCCGGGTACGGGTAGGCCGTGAGTCACTTGTGAGTAACCGTTTGTCACTCATTTCGCAACGTCTTGTCTCTTCTCACAATTCAAGTTCCTAGAATCAACCCACCCGCGCCTGCAACATGGCTTCATCCCAGAGGTAGCAATCGGGTACCCGTCTCCGTACCCTACCCGATACCCGGCCGGGTACGGGTAGCCGGGTATCGGGTAGGGTACGGGTACCCGATTGCGACCCTGGTGTGGCCGGGTACGGGTACGGAATCAAAACCCGTTTGCGACCTCTGGTGCATTCCCACGTGTGTCCCAGCGCGTGTCCCCATGTGTGTGTGTGTTCACGCGTGTTCCGTTCCCGTATCTCCCCATGTGCGTCAATGTATGTGTCCGTCTTTGTTCCCGTGTGTGTCCCTCCCATGTGTCCTCACGTGTGTCCGCGTTTCTCCATGCCCTCCATGTGTGTCCTCGCGTCTGCTCAGAGCATGTCATGAAACATTACGAAGAGCGCACTTAAATACGTCCGAAAAATCCTCCAACGATAACGAATCGAACCGTGAATTAAATTTGCCAACGCTCTGGCGGCACAGCTCATATTAATAACGGAGGAAATTGAAAGGGGTAGGGTTTTTTTTTTATACAACAAATTGCGGTTCTGGCTGGCAGGGCCTTTTACAGAAACATTAAGGGTGACCTTTAGGCTGAAGCGGCGATCCTTTCATTTCGCGCGACAGAAAATAAAATTGAATTCCTTTTTTTCCCCCTCTCGCTTAACAATTTTTTTCCGCTCCCCTTCTTCCCGAACGGAACGCGATGAGAGCACCCCCGACGTGCATCGGCAACGTATCAGCCGACGACGACGAGAGTCACCTCCTCCTCGTCATCGGTGAATGTCGAGGTGAGGCGGTATCTGTCACGAGGGTGAGGAGGTTAATTGCCCACGTGGTCTCCCTCACCTCCCCACCGCCCGTGACTAAGGCCTCCCACCAACCGTCCCACCTGCTAGCCCACGAGCCTCTGGCCTGCTCACCTGCCTGCTAGCTAGTCCATTAGCCCGATAGACCATGAACTAGCCCAGCATCCCGCGAGTTCGCTAGCCCAGCAGCTCACCAGGTCCCCTGCTCGCCCACCCACTCGCGAACTATCCCCCACAGGTCACCAGCGAGCCCACTAGCCGCTCACTCGCTTGCACGCCTGTTCCCTCGCGTTGTTTTCGAGAGGGGAGGGTCGCGTGGAGGTTGCGTGGAGGTCGCGTGGAGGTCGCGTGGAGGTCGCGTGGAGGTCGCGTGGGGGTCGCGCCGTGAACGAGCAAGCGAGTCCGCTCGAGGCCGCTGGACGCCGGCGTCCATCGCGCGGCCACGACACGAAGGTCGTGTCCCCCCCCCCGCGTCTCACTGTACGCATGCACTGTACGCATGCACTGTACGCATGCACTGTACGCATAACGCCGCCCTCGCGTTTCCACGTTGCCGCATCCCCACCGCTCCTTCAACGGAGGAGAAATCGCACGTCGACGCGAACTCTCTCTCCTCTGTCTCTCTCCTGAAGCCCTCTCGTCGTGGCCGGCAGACCTCAACACACGCAACTGGGTAGTCTGATGCCGCGTTTCACAAACTCAGCGGGCCCCAATCGCATCGCAGTACAGCCGCCGTGCAAAAGTAGCTTGCCGGTGCACTGTGGGTAATTTGCACGATCGCCCACAATCCACCAGGACGGCACCTCGTGGGTTCGCGCATTCAATGCGATTGGTGTTAATGAAGCCTCGGCAAGGCCTGGCGAGACTGTGGGTTGCTCAGCTGGACAGAAAGTGTTTCGCCCTCATACAGGTTCATCAGTTTTCCAGAGACACAATATTACCACTGACGACGATCATGATGACGATGCCGACGACTTTAAAGATGCTACTGCTGTTGCTGCTATTGTTGATGAAGATGCTGCTGCTGCTGCTGCTACTGAGGATGTTGTTGACAAGGACGATGCTGACATTGATGATAACCTGCTGCTACTTTTTGCTGTTGATGACGATGAAGCTGCTGCTACAGACAATGATGCGGTTGATTTTAATCATTAAGATGATGATGATGAAACTGTTGACATAGAAAATGATGGAACTGTTGACACCAATTATGATGCGGATGCTGCTGCTTGTACTGATGACATACCTGTCAACCCATACGTTTTACCCGTATTCTTCTACTGGGAAACTGCGTTTTCAGGTCCATACGGTGGTTTC